GCATCCTCATACATAAGTTTCCACATCCCTTTGCATTCTGGGCCACCAGTAGTCTCTTAAGACTAGTTCCCTGGTTTTTTCAATGCCCGGGTGTCCTGCGGAGACATGATCATGGTGATGGGAGATGAGTTCTCCCCGTAGGGTGTGGTCACGAGGGACATAGATATGTCCATCGTAGAATAGAAGGTGGTCTTTCTCAATGACCCCCTTCTCATGATTGAGGCTTGAAGCGATTCCTCAGTCCCACCGTTGGCGATCGCTTGTCGCTTTTCAAATTTTGCCATGAATTTCTTCTTCTGTTGGCATTATTAGGGCATGGAAGAATTCTGGCTTCAAGAGGACAATATCGTCATTGTCCTTCTTGCCCTGGTCATGGTCAGCCTTCCTATTGGATGCTCCCAGCTTGTGGTTGAGCATGAAGTGGTATTCTGCTAGTTCAGTAACCCACCGCACCTGTCTGCAGTTGAGTTTCTGGGGTTTGCGGAAATATTGCAGATTTGAGTGATCCGTCCAGATTTCGAAATCTTGACGAGCACCCATAAGATAATGTCGCCACTCTTCCAAGGCAATCATTATTGCCAACAGTTCCTTGTCATAAATCTCATAATTCTGTTCTGTCACGGAAAGGGATTTCGATAGGAATGCAATCGGGTGCCATTTTCCTTCCTGTTCCTGTGACAGGATGGCCCCGATTGCTCCTTCGCTGGAGTCTGCCTCCAAGCGAAACTTGTTGTAGTCATTTGGCATCGCCAAAACGACTCCCGTTGCAAATTGATGTTTGAGTTCCTCAAACGCCTCTTGTTGTTCCTTTCCCCATGTCCAAGGGTTCTTCCCAGTGAGTTTCGTCATTGGTTTGATGATTGCGCTATAGTGTCAGATAAATCGCCAGTAGAAATTGGTGAATCCCAGGAACAACTGTAATTCCTGTTTCTTGGAGGGTGCTGGCCAGTCCATGATACCAGTGATTTTTACTGGATCCATTTTAACAGATCCTTCGCTGATAATGACCCTGAGGTACTCTGTCTCGAGTACCTCGAACTCACACTTTTCCGCCTTCAAGAACAACTTGTTCTTGCACAGGATCCTCAGGACTTCCCGCATGATTCTTTGGTGTTCCACCTTGTCCTTGGTGAAGATGAGGATGTCATCCAAATAAATGGTGACCTTTCCTTGAGCGATGAGATCTTTAAAGATATCATTCATCATCCACTGGAACATGGCTGGTGAATTGGTTAATCCAAAGAACATAACTATGGGCTCATAGAGCCCTCGGTTAGTGCAGAACGTGGCCTTGAATTCGTCTCCTTTCTTGATTCGAACGTTATTGTACCCCCAACAAATGTCTAGCTTAGTGAAATACCTCGCATCCTTCAGCTTATCCATAAGATCGGAGATAAGCGGTAAAGGATAATGGTTTTTGATGGTTATTTCATTAAGCTTGCGGTAGTCTTGTACTGGCTGCAGTTTTCCATCCTTTTTCTTGACAAAGAAAAAGGGAGATGCCATTGGGGATTTGGAGGGTCAAATTCGGCCAGTAGCCAGGTTTTCATCAAGGAATTTGTCCAATTCCTCCTGCTCCTTTGGGTTCAGGGGATATATCTTGCAATCCAAACTAGCATTGGTATTGGGAATCAGCTCAATGGCATGATCCCAAGGTTTGCAAGGGGGAAGCTCATTGAAGTTCTCCTTGGCAAAGACATTGATGAAGTCCCGGTAGTGTTCGGGGATGATTTTCTCAAACAATTTTATTTTCTTTCCCTCGTTGGCCTTGGCTGCTAAGTCATTGGCTTTATGTCCCACCGCTCGTACGTGAAAGGCTTCAAAGTCTATGATGAGGATAGTGTCCCCATCCTCGACTTCAGTTCCCCACTGCTGTTCCAGGTCCTCATCTGGGAGTCGGAACGGTACCTTGCAGCAGTCACAGCACGCTAAGGTTACTGAACCTGTGTTCCAGTCAATAAGTGGGTTATGCCTTTGTAGCCAGTCGTGTCCTAGGAAGATGGGTGTTGTTCCTAGGTCAACGACTGCTAATTCGATACGTTTGCTGTGGTCTCCGATCTTGAGTCGGACCTCAGTGAATTTGATGATGTCGCCACCTTTGTTGCGAGTACCATCCGCATTATAGACTGGAGTGGGGTGAGCCACTTTATGCAAGGTAATACCATGATCATGGGTCCATTGCTGGTCAATAGTACTTCCGGTACAGCCACTGTCAATCAGGGCCTTTGCGGAGTGATGGGCCATAGTATCAAAGGTCTCCAGTTGTAGGGTGATCATGATATTTTGCCCCTTCACTCCTCGGATGTATTGGGGTGGTTTGGTAAGCTGGTCCATATGTTCCAGCTTTCGATATTTGTCCCGATAGGACTCCCTGACTTGGTGTTCCAAGTCGGTAACCAGCAGCTCATCCACCTCCGTTTGTCATCAGGGGTGGACCCACTGTTTGAGAAGTGATATCTTCTCTCCTGGGGTCTTGGCGAGTTGCATAGCTCGCTGAGTCCAGGCAGCTCTGAAGGGCTTCAGCCATTGGGAGCCCTGAGAGTACTCCACCGATGCTGACTGTATCGGGGTCTTCCTCTCGTTGTCACAGTCCATAGGCCACAAAGGCCCTGCTCCTATGACTGTGCGACTGGTCAGTTCCCTTTCACCTCAGTGCGGACACCCACTCGGGTTAGTTGGGACTTCATTGGATTTTGGAGAGTTCTGTAAACTCTTTAAATAACTAGGATTGTCTCTGCTGTTAGTGCTATCCTTAAAGGGGAGACATACCTGAAAGGGGGAGTCTCTCTCTCCTGTGCGGCCTGCTTGATCCTTGTGGGCAATTGAGCTTTTTTGGCCGGTGTCCTCTAGGGTAGAGGTGGCCGTTCCTCAGGTATCCTTTCTACTTGGTTCCACGTGTGGTGCTGGGTTATCTTCAGAGGCTTTACAACAGTCCACCATCGGGTCCACTGGGCTTTGCCGGCCCTCAGCTTTGTCCCTAGGCTTGCCTGGTGTCCCTGACCTCACCATCACTGAAGTGGTCTGTCATTGGGGAACCTTGATGCCTGGAGGAGATGCCAGTTCACCATCGTCTGGATCCACTGCCACTATGTGTGGCTTTCCCAGGAGTCGGACTTCGTAGTCCTCGTTTTGACCTCCCATATGGTGGACATCACCCACAGGGAACAACAACGTCACACCCCCAAGGTTCCACCCTTGGTCGCCTGTCAAACTGGTAGGCTCCTCTGCATTGTACATGTGCCCCAAAGGGGTATTTGCAGTGGCTTGGACACAGCAGGTACCACCAGCACTAGGACTTGGCTGGTGGGGTTCATTGCTAGTTAAAGCAGTGGAAATCCCGTGTACACTGTTGATGCGCAAGTTCAAGGGTCCCCCTCCTGCTTTTATGCAAGCATTGGGTGGAGGGGACAGGCGCAAGGAGCCCCGTCGATCCTGGGCTTCATTCCTGGTCATGCCTGAACTCTTGATCCGTTGATCGAGAACTCATTCCAGGTTCTTGATTGAATGATCAAGAGTTGCTTCTGGATCCTTGATCGACTGATCGGGATCCGTCCCGCACTGGTATGGCCTCGAGCTGCTAGTCAGGTCCGACTCTTTCGTGCCCGACCCTCGGGGTTCATTGCCTGACAGGTGGTGGTAATCCCCTGTTACACCGTTCTTGTTTTGCGATTCCTCATAATGCGAGATGAATGCGATATATTGTTGCAAGTATCTACAGATACAACATCAGCATGAATATTCATGTCATGAGGCGCACTGTGATAAACCCCAGCCAACGAAGTAGAATCACAAAGTCCTATGCCGGCGTCTCCTTTGTCTCCTCAATCTCTGTCGAGCTAGCGAGGTCTTCTTCCTCTATTTCTGCTAGGACGGCTCGGAGACGGGCTGCAAAGTTGATGGTTTCTTTGGAAACCACTTCGACTTGTCGGGTGGACATTTATTGTCCTGCCCCTGGTGTCTGGTGTGTCTGCACCAGATGTATCGCTTTTCTCTTTTGAGACTATTGATATCCATAGGTTCACCTTCACTGCTGTAGGTGAATTTAGTGGCATCCCTTCTGCCCTTTGAGCCACTCGAAGAGCCCCCTGCTGTTCTGGGCTTGGAACCAGTGGTCCCGCTGGGATACTTCCCACCTTGGGCAAGATGAACTCAATAGTTCTTGTCCATTTGTAGGACCCTGCACCTCCACTCCCAGGAGGTGGTAGGCCACATATTGTCTTCACCCATTATGATCTCCTTGACCCTGGGCTGGATTGCGAGGGTGATGACTTCCTCCATTTCCACATTATGCAGAAGCGCTCAGCTCCCATGACCAGTTTGTTTGAACTTCTCAAAGAATTTGATGGTCATCTGATTTTTAAAGGTTTTCTCCTTCCCGATATGACTGCGACAAAAGGAATTTATTGTCCATATTTATAGTGGTACCTACAGATAGGATTTCAACATATAAAATTTAGAGCAGGTTTTTACCTGAAAGAAATTGAGTCTTGGTGTACAAAGGCAAATTGCCTGGTTCATTGTGGACTCCTTCCCTTCATCGGTCGTTGCTGAGGGACCTTTGCTCTGCCTTTTAAGCAGAGCGCCATTTGGACCGATCCGATGGGCATCTGTTGTCCCACCTGACATGTCCATTGAATCCACAGTGGAGACATTGCTCCCTCACAAATTCTTGCTGTCCACTTCCTCCTGATACAGTTTCTGGGTGTCCATGAAATGGCATCAATATCGGCCTTTGCCTTCTTATCTCATGCCATTTTGATCTGTCAGTGGGGCACCTTTGGTCTCAACTGAAGTGTCCTGTGTTTCCGCATTAGAAGCATCTCCCCTCTTTCTTGAGACAATCCATGTCCATCCCTTCAGGGTGTGATGCACCTCTGTATTGGAAAAGAGAAAGAACCCTTCTTCCTAGTTCTGGGTCCAGAGTCATGGTCCAAAACACCTCAGATGGTAGGTGTGATTTGGTCCAGTCTCCCCCAGGTCTCCTCATGTTGAAGATGTCTTCAGTGCTGAAATTCAGCACCAAAGATGTGGATGGTCCCGTCATCATCAGAGGAGGTGTCGGTAAGGGTATTGCCGCCTTCTTCTGCCTCTGGGACTGTTTGGTATTCTTCCCCCACAAATAAGGGGGTGGAGAGCGAGTCCCATAGGTTTTCATCAATGTGCGTTCTGGCCATTGGGTTGGGCCAGATGGCCTCATACTGCTCGTTCTCCCATGGAAAGGCCTCATAGGAGGTTTCTGGCCAGGGGGATTCCCAACTGTCCCCAGCAATGAAGTGCCAGGTGTCATCAGCATTTGAGTCAGAGGGCATGGTGGGTAGGTCCCAGGATCCCTCTTCGGGGGTGATCCAGTAATCCACTGGAAAGATGGCCCCCCAATCCAGTATCCCTTTTTCCTCAGCCACTCCTCTTTCCTTCCTAGCCAATTGGTGGATTCCGTGTGCAAGCTGGAGAGCGATTTAGTGATACCATTGATATACCCAGTTACAGAGGCGAGCAGATCTCCTGGAGGTGACTTCAGATTTGAGCTGGATGACTTCTGCCTCATAGGAGGAGTCGGTGTCTGGGCTCCAACAGGAGACATCTCCCTTGAGGGATAGTTCCTGTGAGGAGGTACCCAGTCCGGTGTGGACTCCCCATGCCTTTCTTGAAATTTCAGTGGGGGAGTAGATTCCCCCTCCGAGTTCTGAGGCATGGAGCATTGGTCCAGCATTTCCAATCAGCTCTAGAGATTCATCTCTTCGATGTCCTCCTGCGTCGGTTTCTACCGGCTGTGGTATGTCCACCTTCTTGATTGATTCCCCGGGTAGGGAGGAAAGGGTTGTTGATTTCTTTGAAGGTGGTTCCTCACCATTCTGCTTTATCAGCGGCGTCTCCATCATCTTTCTCCAGAGTTCGTACACTGATGAGTCAGTTGTACTCGTTGGTGTAGAACTGTTGAATGTCAGTGAGGATGGAGATACTGGGATCATCCCAGGATCCATTGGTATCTTCCCAGTATCCAGTCGCAAATTGTGGATTTTCGGAGTATTGGGTCTGAAGGTGGTCGCCTCCTGTGATGGGGAGTTGATCCATCTCATGGGTAGGATTGAGCACTGCAGTACGAGGGGTGCTTTACTAGGGATGTAAGGGTTTCCAGGATGCAGGCGACAGTAGCATTTGTAGGATTCATATGGTCACCATCGTTTGAACAACGGGGAGAATATAAAATATTCTTGTAGGGGTGAGCAACCCCAAGGACTTGTTGTATAGCGACAAAGGTTTCCAATTTTGAATGTTCTGGATACTACGATCGTTCTGTTAACGAAAACGACAAGGGTAGTCAAGGTAGAGCCTGTTACTCGCCCACTGAATGAGGGTCAGTGCTCTCGAGGGGTACAGGTAGTGTGGATAACTGCGACTGCAGTTAGTAGTGTCAAGGTACTGAAGGTACTTCTGAGGATAATGGCGGCGTGGTCTGAGGGGGTGAGAGGTGTAAGGTTCATTGTACCACAACGAATGTTTACAGCCTGGACTGCTAGATTTCTGTTTGAAAGGTGTCAGTTGGCACTTAATTGTGATGCATCAGGAGTGTCAGTTAGAACCCAAGTGTCAACTAACGCCTGGGCTAACAAATCCCACAGGATCCCGCGCTGGCAGTTACGACATCAGAGACAAGAACCGGCGAGGTCCGGGGTTTGAACCAGCAACGCGGCAAAATATTGACTAAGCTTATGACATCATTGCAACAGCACAGACTTTAACCAGTAGACTACTTGCCTGTTACCAATAGGTGTAATTAAAGCTAAATATAGATCATCCAGTGCAGCCACTTTCTCAATTAGCAACAGCACAAATAGTATGTCGGTGGTGCAGTATTAGATGTCCCGTACTGCCCAATTAGGATTATGATTGTAAATAACTTGATGACATGCAGGAAAGGAGTAAAAATAATGAAATTATGAATAAATGATACAGCATGATTACATCATACAGTGCTCCCCCTCATGGAACTCACTGTTCCCTCAGAGATCCGCATAATCCTCCTCATCCAGCTCCACCTCCTCCTCATCACTCCAAATCCTGATGTTTGTTCATCCCTATCA